AAATAAAAATTGTCAATAGTAAAAAAAAAATCAGTCACATAAAGTATACAAATTAAATATTTACACATAAATTAAAAAATAAAAATTGTCAATAGTAAAAAAACTTCAGTCACAAAATATACAAATTAAATATTTACACAAAAATAAAAAATTGTCAATAGTAAAAAAACTTCAGTCACAAAATATACAAATTAAATATTTACACAAAAATAAAAAAACATTAAAAATCAGAAAAATCAGAATCATCTTCGTCATCAGAATTGCCGATAGTTAGTACAACCATTGATTATAGAATAGACAGATAGACAATGGTATAGGGATTTTCGGTGACTAAAATTTTATTTATAATAGCTGCCAATAGGTAGCGTTGTATGAATTAATATTATATTATTAATATTGAGTACTGACGGCAAACAGTAATAACATAATCTTAGACCGGTTTTTGGCAATGACAGAAAAAGCGATAAGCTTATAAATTACTCTATCGTAGATAAATGATATTTTCTGTACATCGCACTATTACCACAATATTGTAAAATTATTATTAATTATTACGTTGTGTTGTACGCGACCAAAAAGTCGAAAAATACGAAAAATTAATTTATTTTGCAACACTATGATTCAGTAAAATCTGCTTTGTAAAAAAGTATTGTATTACAATTTACATTATACACTACACAAGATTTACCAAATTTTAACAATACAGCAAATTTTTATCCATATCATAGTTTTATTACTTAGTGGTTTTTTATAAAATAAAATAAATTATTTTATGTTCAAATTTTAAAAGAATAAAATCGCAACAACATAAATAATATAATTAATTAAATATTATTATTATTTATAAATAAAATAATACAGTTGTATTTTAATATTGAGTGTACATATTGAATATGTTAAATTTAGAAACTAACGATAAATCTGCATATTATTATGAAAAACGATTGCGAGTAAAGATAGACCAAAATTACATTACACTGGAGTCTGGATTTGTAATAAAATACTAGGTTTAAAGAACAAAATAATTAAAAATTTAGTAAGAATATTTTCTTTATTATAAGATAAACATAAAATAAAGGTAATGTTATTATGTAAATTTATATTTACACATAATTATTAGAATAATAGTAAATTGTGATGTTTATTGGTTCTGAAAAGAACCGTTTTATAAAATTGAAGTAAATAGTCCTAAAAAGGACTGTTTAATAGAATCAACACAAAGTTCTGAAAAGAACTATTAAATGTGAGTCCTATAGAGAACAATTAATACTGCTTCTATTGTTTTATGCAACTAGGTACAATGCCAGAACAAGAAAACATTTATTTAATTTAATTAAATATGGTTTAATATTTTTAATTTTGAAAGTTTTGCTAATTTTGAAGTAGTTGAAAATAATTTTGTTTTATTAAATATTTTGCAAATTAAGAGTTGTTCAATTATGTACATTTTATGATCTATGCAGTTTGTTAATGATTCATCAAGCCATTTTTTAACTGTGTTATTATTTTTTACGCGCTCAGTTAGTTGAAATTTTATTTTTTTTTTTATGTAAATAGCTTTTATAATTGTTTTCAAAAATATTTAAAATTTTATTTACTACATTGTTTAAACTATTTGATGGTGCTTTTAGCCCATTTTCATTTTCAATTGAAGTATAGTTTTTATTAAGTAAATGCAACTGTTTTTTATCATTTAAGTTTTTATTGACAAATAATTCATTTTGACAGTTGTCACAGTTAAATTTTTTCATACATTTATAACCTAAATATCCTGCAAAGTATGAAACAGAACAATCTTCCAAAGTAACACCATTATTTATATTTTCATTAATAGAATCCTCATCAGATGATATAGGAGAGAAAGATAAATTAGAAATACTTTCTGTGTCAGAATAAGAAGACAATGTTGAATTATTAGAATCTATTTTATTTTGATATCTCACTGGGTCAAATATTATAGGATTTTCATCTCCTATGGTTGCCTCACAATTTTTACCTTTGGATATACATAAAGAAAAAATACTATTACTTCTTATAGAAGTCCTAATTGTTCTGGCTGTTGGATTTTTATTATAACCACCCATTTGTCGAAAAATACTAAATAGATTTTCTAATATATCCTGATTTAATCTATTAGTCATTAAAAATACAACGTTATGAGCTTTGTCTTCTTCAAAAAATTGCAACACACCATTAATTGTCTGTGTAAAACCTTTAAAACAAGGAGGTTGAGTTAATTTTCCTTTTTTTAATTTTTGAAAATTTGTAAAATATTCTGAGGCTTTTTTTAAGAAATTGTGTACAGTACCTGATTCAGTTAATGCACATAGATATGGATTTTGGCTATATAAAGATCTGCTATTAAGACAATCGAATAATTGATTGATAAATTCAATAAAATCTGCAGTATTTAAAGAAGTGTTACTTTGAAGTTGTCCAGTTTGTATACAAGTTCGGATCGTTGCTGACATAGAATGGCTCAATAATTGTGCTGCTAATTTAACATTCATTTTTTGAAAAGAATTTGGATAAATATGTGCATCTGTTATTTTGACGAGACACCTACTCTTGAGATTTTTTTTATCTAACTCATATGTTTTTTTTTATGTCATCAAATGAAATTATATTGCCATCACCTTTTATAAAAGAAGCTTCAATTAAATTATTTCTAACACTTTTAAGTAAATGTGGCACATCAAATAAAGAAAATATTTTATTGTTATCAATAAAAAAATAAGGCCTATCTTCGGAAACATTTAATGATTTTAAAGTACTTTGATTGTTTGTGCCTTGATCACATACTATAATTTTTGGACACAATCCAACTTCAAATAATTTTTTAAGAACATCTTGTATTAAATTTTTTAAAATGTTTTTGTTTACTCCAGAATGGGAAAGAAAATATGCAATTGGAATTTTCCACTGAGAATAAATACCTCTGGCCATAAATACTAGAACACGGTTAGCACTTTTATTGGTCCTTCCATAATGACCCAAGTCCTCAAAACCTTCAATAAAATCAAATTCTTTTGAATATTCTACAAATTCTTTTATATACATCTCATCAAAACAAACAGAGCACACTTTTTCTTTATAATCAGATGACTCAAATTTTTTTTGAAGATGACTAAAAAATAATTTACTAAAACCTGGTAAAAACTTTGATTGGCCAATCCAATAACGAATAGTAGATGGTCCTGGTAAATTTACTTTCTGAGAACGTAAAAATTTATATGCTGCTGGAGATTTATAATATAAATTTAAAGCTAATTGTTTTTCATTTAATGTCCAGGGACGACGCTTATCTTTTAATTGCATAGTCACTATTGCCTTAGAATTTATAGAAGAAAAATTATGCATATTTATTAAATTTTTAAAATTATAACGAGTACTAAGCTTATTTTTTTTTTTTAATTTTGAAATATGAACTATTTTATTATGAATTATTTTGTTTTTTTGATGTAATTTTTGCTTTAAATTCAATTTTCTAGGAGTATCTATTTCAATTGAATCAAGTTTTCTTTTTAAATTGGGGCTAGGCATGTGTATTATATTTGTTATTTTAGCTTTTTGAGTAGAAGAAAGTAAAGAAGGGGGACTTGGGAAAACTAACTCTACCATATTTGATTTTGAATGTGTATATGTTTTAGTTGGAGTTGATATTTTAATAAATTCTTGTTCAGGTTTATGATTTTTATTTAAGTTTGAAGATGTACATGGCTGTTGCTCAGATTTATTATTATAATTATAGGGAATAGCAGTGTTAGTTAAACGGTTTTTATTAGAAAAATTTGTAAAACTTTCAGGTGGGAAATGCTCTTGACAAATGTACCTATTATGCAGTTTTTCGGGTTCAATCGAAAATAAACTTGTGTTTCCTGTGAAGATAAATCAAATATTAAATAAATAACATTATACTTTTTGGAATTTAAGTTAGAAGAAATAATATTTTATAATTATATAATCTTATATTTTCAAGACAATTTAAACTATCAAGATAAATCAAAATTATAAATTTTTTACTTTATTTCAACTTTAAAGGTTAGTTAATAAAATATTAAAATTTATTTAAATAAAAAAATCATTAATTTTTATTTTCATTCCAATTATTTATATTGTTACTTTTAAAGGGATAACATTTAAAATAAAATACCAATAATTTACGTACTTAGCACAACATTTTCTTTAACATTATAAAAAAAAGAATTAATTATTTATTTACCCGAATTTATCATCCAAACTTCTCTTCTCTCGTCGTTTGGAAAACGATTAAGTCGTAAATTAGGAAACAAATTCCTCGACTTGCCACAATTCACATACTGACATTTATTGCCAGACATTTTCAGATAATTTTATACTCAAATAAATGAAAATTATTTTTTGTATAAAAAGACTGATCACATAGATTACAATACGAGTTGGTAACCCAAAAATTGTCTCTCACAAACATAGATAAGTATAATATAATAGATAGGCAACTCCCGTGTTATAAAAGTGTACCACGTTTCAGCGCTCCCGGTGGTTGTACGAAATAACTAAATAATCGCTGCCATCGATAGTTAAAGTTATCGATCATTTTCAACTTTTACTATCGATAATTTTCAACTTCTACTATCGATATATTTTCTTTTTATTAAATTTTTTTTAATAATTATTAACTAGAAATAAATTAAAACAAATTATTTTTTTAATAAGAGATCATATTTTATTATATATTTTAAACAATACAAACAATTTATTAAAAATATAAGAATTGTTATGGTCAAATATAAATTAACAAAAAAATTTCATAAAAAAATTATATAATACAATATTAATGAAAATGGTTAATACTTTATAAAATATAATATCTCAATATGAAAAACATAATGATCGTAAGAATCAAATTGTATATACATTAATTAAAAATAAAATAGTCACATTAATTATAAACAATTTTAGGAACTAATGTTTCGGTATACATAAACTATAAAGACAAAAAATAAAATAAAATGGCACACTTAGATTAAGTTAAATTTGCCTTGAGTTTTTCTTGTTTTAGAGTGCTTTGAATACCATGTGTGGGCCAATTTTTTAACAGGATCAGTCTCATTTTCTCGCAATTGTCTTTTTCCTACAAGTATTCTATTGACTTCGGTGCAATAATGTTGTATCATCATTTTTAATGTTAATTTGATTATGTTCTGCTGGAAATTATCTTTGTGTTCTGAACAATTTAATTCAAAAGGGAAAAAGAGTTGTTGATTTAAAGCATTAATTTGAGTTGAAAGTATATTAGGATGAAGACAGACATTTGACATTTTTTCTCCGACAAAATGTATGATTTGTTGAACTATTGAACATAATGTAGATGATGGGTATTTTAAATTTGGATGATTTGATTGATATTCTCGAGCAGTTATTAATGAATGATGTTCGGCTACTTTTTCTGAACTAAGCTGAGCGAGGCATGGTTGACAATTTTTAAAAAAAGTTTTGTTCAGTTTTTTTACTATGAATCCGGCAATATAATTTTGAGCTTGCCCGCGGACGAAGGAAGTAGACATTGATAAATGATGTAGAGTTTGAGGTAAATCAGCACTAATGACCATTTGGTTTTCAAGTTCAGACGTTGGAGCAATGGCACTTTCAAAGAAGTTTGTGAATGAGGACAAGCTTCCTTCTGTGAAGTCTTCTTTGCAATTGTATCCCGGTGAATGAGAAGACACCAAATTGTTCAAAACTAAAGTTTTGTATGCAGAAGCAAATGCATGACAATTTGGATTTTTTGAACCAATACTTCTGATCGCACCAAAGAAGCATTCCAACGGGTCCTGATTGAGATGTCGAGGGAGTAAGGAACGTATACCATTCATACCTAATACAATGGACAGGGTTTGAAAAGCTGAAACAAACAATTTATAATGTTTTTTATTATAAGAATTATAATTAAATTTATTGATAAAATGCCATACATCTTATAGTTGTCATCCAGTTCTTGATTGTTGGAACTGACTTTTTTCTACCATTACCCAATACAAAGCTCATTGTACTCAGAATTTTCAAACTATCTGCCCAAACAGTATGATGGATAGAATTTTTTTTGACAGCAGTACGGTACATTTTTCCATCAGTTACTTTATCAAAACTTCCATTAAGTGAATCAAAAAGCTTATCAAAAAAAGAGCATATAAACGCTGTGTCAGAAGCATCTGGCCCAATGATATTACGAGCTAAAAACATTTTTGTTATTAAGTCATTAATTCACATTTCATTGTATTGTAAAAACTTACATGCAAGAAAATTCATAGTAGAAGAAACTCGTTGTGAAAAAACTTGTGTAGCATATTTCACTTTCATTTTTCCAATTTTGTCTCTAACTATATGCTGATCAGTTAGCCGTGGTAAAATCTTGCAATCTGGAATGGCACTATCCATGTGGTATAGATCTTCAAGATGTGACCACTTTGCATATTTTGTGATGTTATCAACTGTATATTCTAAGTCTTTCGTTAGAAGATTATTTCTGATACATTTCAGTAAGTGAGGGACATCATATATATGAACCAACTTCAGTCTTTGTTTATCATGTAATTCAACCTCATAAAATTCATCATCATATTCTGAGTTGTTTTTTACATGATAAAGTCGAGTTTCATTGTTCAGAATTTTTATTACACCAACATTTGCAGTTCCCTGGTCACTAATAGTGGCTACAACACGAAGACCCGTCAAATGAACAGCCTCAATTACCTATTAAAAATTATTGTTTATTGTATTATTAATTATTATTATTTATAAAATAATATATAATAAAATAAATTACTTGTTTCAATTGGCAAATAATTTCTTGTTGATTTGTGGCTCCCTCGCAAAATGTGTACATAATAGGCTGTTTGAATTTTTTTTTTATTCCTCGTACCATAAAGACTAATGCGTGATCAGCAATTTGTTGAGTTTTACTATGCCCCGTATTCACAAACCCATTGATTTCATCGGTAACTGTATCATAAGTCAAACCACTCGATAAGCACACTTCGTCGAATAAAACTGAACAATGCTCCTGGTGGTTGTACAATGAACTATAAAGTGGTACCAATTACCCACGGGGAGTTGCACCAACCTGCTCAAAAAACAAGAAACGACTAAACAGTAAACAGCAGTCAATTGGATATTTAACGATATCGGATATGCGATAACGAATTATGAAATAACATATTTTAATCAATAATAATACAAGGAATTCTATTTTAATTTTCATTTCTTTTGAACATAAATTCTATTTTTAGAACGACAACTATTGTACCCTCGCACTTCCTCACCATACTATGATAGTGGTACTACCACCTTGGATCTGGACACCCTCCGCTATGCTTACCTACCTATGAGAGGGTACACCACCTTTGCATCACTTCTACACTAGCGCTTACCTACCGGTTGCATCATAAACTAACCACTACACTAGCGCTTATTTACCGGTTGCATCATAAACTAACCACTACACTAGCGCGTTTAGCGGTTGCATCATTTTCTGCACTAGCGCTCCATAGTGGCTGCATCATATGAATGGTCACCAAATATTTACATTGTCTATCTGTCTATTCTATAATCAATGGTACAACTCTATGTTGTTCTGCCATCAGTTCATCAATCAAATTATCCATGTCCCAAAACTTGTCTTCTGCTTTCGTGGTGTGGCTGATAAAGTTTTTCCACATCTCAACAGTAACTTTTACAGTACCTTCGATTAGAAGATTATGTACGTCGGCTAGCTTATAAGTTTTGTTGTTGGCTTTTACGTGATCTTTGACGACAGACCAAGCTAATTCTATAGGATTTAACTCACAGTGGAAGGGAGGTAAACGTAAGACTACTTTGTTTTGCTCCTTAACCATTTCGTCAATCACATAGGTTGAATACAAAGGTTTCAATCGTTTTACCACTTCTAATAACTCCGGAATTATCATCGAGTTATCGATTACCTCCCCTTTACTTGTGAGCCAATTGATGATGTCTGCCTTTCGCCATTGTGTAGTTGGATATTTCTCTTTTTTCATTGAGTGATAAGGAGCGTTGTCCATCACAATCACACAATTTTCCTTGAGTCTCGGCAAAACACCTTCCAACCAATCACGAAAAGAATCCCCATTCATCTCGTCGTGATAGTCTTGGGTGTTTTTTTTGGATTCGAAACATAGAAGCCCACCTGGAACAAATCCGTCTTCGGACCCTATGTGAACTACTATGAGTCGCTTCCCTTTACCTGTGGGATTGACTGCACCTGTTGATAGTCCCTGGGAAAAAGCGTCTTGGCTAGATTGTACAGTATTGTCACTCCATATTCTGCTCGTAACATCTCCAGCATTTACCCAAGTTTCGTCGAGAAAATAAATTTGACGACCTTCTTCTCTGTATTTTCATAAATCTCTAATGTACCGTCTTCGCCAAAGAATTATCTCGTTTTTTTCAAGTAACGCGCTGTTACGACCTCGTTTAGCATATTCGAATTCCATTGATTTCATTAATCGATATAATGATGTGCGGGAGAAATTTGGTAGACTTTTATCTTCATTAACTACCGTCAAAATTTTATCTAACGTCGGCAGTTCACGATTAAACCAAACTGATGGATTTTCTCTGATGGCATATTTATCAAAATCGTCAACTTTTGTTTCAACGTTTATGAAAATTTTATTTTGTTTTGAAGACAACTGTTTTGTTCTGATATTACACTGGGAAATGTGCTTTTGACCAATTTCAATTCTTGAGAGGATTTCGCGCCTTTCATCAGATCAAATTTGGATCGACTGCCAATTTGATTTATACGCATTAATTATCATTTCACGTTGACGTGAACAAACAAATTAAAAATAAACATATCTTGTTATCATTTATAAAATGAAAATCGACTTTTCAATTTTAAACGTTTTAAATGAAGTGAGAATTTAGTACTACAATAGTAATATTATTAACATTTTTAATTTTATACTAATTTATCACAATAATAGTTTTTAAAAATGTAAAGCGAGAATATTATTTACCAAGCATTGATTTGCACAACATTAATTTTTATAATTTCCAGTGTTGGTGAAATTACTATTTTTTGGTAATTAAATTACATTACTAATTCCTTATCAAAATTGTAACTAAATTTTTAAGTAATTTTTATTTATTTGTAAATTTACATTTTTGAGTTTAAAAGTAATGTAATTACAAATATAAATAATTAAGACTACTATAATTACTTGTTGTTATTAAGAAAAATGTTTTAAGGCTACGGTATGAGAAAGACTTAAAAGTAAAATATCTTTAACTTTTAAATATGCAAAATATGCAACAAGAATTCTACATTTAACATCTTAGGTTTTTAAACAAATTAATAGCTAGCAATACGTAACTGAACGAAGTACACCA